GGTCTTAAAATAATTGAGAAGAATTTGCTACCTTTCTATAACATCAAGAAATGGTTAGATATTCTAGTCTTCTCGGATAGGGACGAATAAATGGAGGTCCCGTCTCCTGCAGGGTTGGGGTAGGAGACGTTAATTTCCCACACACGAGATTGTGATGGATGTCCTCCCCTGGGGTGGGATGGGTGGGAAGGTGAGATCGATAGACTGAAGCGGCTGCCAGAGGCGCCTGATATGCTGACGTCTGTTCTCGACCTTACACTGCACCCGTAATTCAGCCTCTGGGCTGCAAGTGGTCAGATATAAACTATATTACTATATTATTACTAAAGATGTTGCACAATTGCATGGGAAGTTGAGTGCTTTTTTACCAAAGTTCTATCAAAAAGCAAGTTAATCTCTTCCTCTTTGACTGTACAGTAGCAAGTAAAGGTAAAACAAAACTCCCTTCTTCACTTCTTAAGGGGCCTCTTCAATCACAAAGCAGCAATACCCAGTAACACCTGTGAGAACATCAAATTACGCGATACAAAATTTTAAAATTGTAACAATTTCTGCAAAGCACAAGACTAACCAGATGAGTTTGAGGGAATATTCATGAGACTACTGGATTTCCGTGGCTCTACTGGTGTCTGATTAGAATTTTTTCTGTCCTCTGATTGGTTTATCTGGCCAGGGGACTCTGCTAAAGAGGGCTCAGAGATGGTACGTTGTAATGGAGCCTCTGGACTTTCACCCTTAGGCAAGATATTCCTCTGTCTCAATTCTAGGAAAATAATAGTTCTCATCACAAAGAGTTTATAACCCTCTATTCCTAAAGAGTTACCGGCTTCTAAATTCTCATTGCAGTTTCCCTCTTGAACTAAATAGAAGGGTCATTTATAAGAAAAAAGGAAATGATCACCAATTCAAGAAGCTACATACTGATTGTCAAACAAATTCTCCTTGCCCATACCATAAGAAATTTAAGGAGATAAGTGAGGAGAATATGAATATTGCGTTGGGGTGCGAAGGGTTACAGTGACCCATTCCCACACTGGTTTGTCTAACAGAGTCTCACTTCATTGATTCTAAATGCAAAGAAAGAAAACCACCCACAGCTCTACTCTTTGGCTAATGCCTTAATCATTTAACTGTAAATCCTTGATTAAGCACCCAGAATTGAGGGTGCTTATTATTCAAGAGGGGAGGGGGGGTGCATGCTTAATTAAAGGGTGGTACTCTTTGAAATTTTCCAAATTATGTCCTGATATAAACCTTTTATGTAATATGACACCTGCATTTAAACTATGTTAACTGTAAAACTGATGCTAAAGCAATCATTCTAAATTTTTGACTGACAGGGGGAGGGTACATGAATTTGAGGGGAGGGCGATAGCAGATATTTTAAATTTTGACCAATAGCAGATGCAATTTTTGAAATTGCCCACACTCAAGGTAAAAACCTAAAGATGTATAGTAATAATTCTAACCTGTCCCCATTGAGGCACTTGGACTCTGCACACCACGCGCAGGAGTTGAACTGGGTTTCTCTTTTCTTTCCACCTGAACAAATGAATCATCAGTAAAATTCAAATTTCACAATTTCTTACTTGTGATGGTCCCATGTTCTAATATGGTTTTAATACGAATCACAAATTATTTATTCATACCTAAATCAACTCTGCAACAGTCATATACAACATCAGAAATTAAACAGGTTATACCCTGCACAGTCAATTTTAAAGAAGAGAGTTTCAAAGTTGTTTTTTTCCTTTGCTAGTAGCAAACAGAGGTAGTGACGAAAGTTGTACACACAGAGTAAAGATGACATTTCTCTGCAGTGGCTTAGAATTTGTGTGTTCCCTTCAAAATATCCAATTATTTCTTACTATGTTTTTTTTACTTACAGGCAGATAAAGCAAAACAAAGTGTTAAAATCAGGTATTGTCACAAAAATTATGACAGCTTATCGAAAAAAAAAAAAAAAAATTGGGCATCTTTTTGTGATACCGAGATTGACACTGTTACAGTTACAATATAATTTAATCTTTGTTTATACCATAACGAGATACTTCATATCTGTAAGTAGTATTGTTTTGTATTTACTTTTTGTAATTAAATTTAAAAAAAAAAAAAGAAATACTTCATCTCACCTTAACCACTTCAGAATTAGGGTCATACTTATCCAGCAAATCTTTAGCTGTTTTGTACGTCTCTTTTTCCTTTACTTCCTCAAGCTAAAAGTTCACACAAATTAGCCAAATGTAATAAACAAAACAAGCTGTAATTATCTAAAAAGGCTTAAAAAAAACAAAGACCAAAGGCAAACAGAAGCCACATATCCTAAGATTATGTTCAAAAGTAAAATAAAAACGTGTATTTTACTTACAACTTGTCTCTTCTTGTCTTTTAACTCTTCCAGCCTTCTTGCTGAAAATGAAAAAAGTTACAAACTAAATTGGTTTTGGAAAAAAAAAAAAAAACACATTTTAGGCACTAAAAATTTATAAAGAACCTATGTTTGACAATTTTTAAGAGACCAGCAAGCATGACCTTGGTTTTGGATTATTCATTTGGAACCAAGTACCTTTATAAATTCTGAAACTTTTTGATGGCAAACAGCAAAGTAACATAGTCAGTCCCCTAATCCATTTTGTGATGCATTGTCAATTGTGTAATACTGTTCTTGAACTTAACCAAAACTTCTCACAACTTAAACTGTCCCTCAGAGATATAAAAAGATCAAGATTGCATAGTTATGAATCTATTAGGTATAAAGTAGAAATTGCATACTTTTCTAAGGATCAAATCATTTCTTCATTGGCCTTAAAATATATTAGACATACAAAATAGTGAGTTCCTTACCATTCTTACTAATTCTTTGAACAAAAATGTAATGAAGCACTCTCTTCAGCAAATACACTCTGAAAAAAAGAAGGGAAATGTTCAAAGCTTGTCACAGGTGACATCATAGTTCAGCAAACATATTCTGGAAACCTAGATGGAATTCCTTTGGAATTATGGGTAAGTGTCAGCTAACCATTATCATGGTTACATGCACAGGATCCTAGCATTGATAATAACATTAAGTTAGGTGTGTAATTAGAGTACAGTTGATCCTGTATTAAGGAATTGGGAGGTTACTACTCAATACAGTTTCATCACAATACTAGTTCCTTAGTTAAGAGGTATTATAATCATAATTTTTGGCCATTTACCCACAGTTAATCTATTGATTTTGCATAAACACATGCCACTGCAGGTAATAGGGAAGTACAGTTAAGTGGCAATTTTAAAGTCTACTGGTGGTTGAGTTGAAAAAAATTCTCACCAACCAGCATTTCCACCTATCAAATAAATTTTATTGTATTAAGAGTGCCACAAAGTGGCACGAAAACATGATGCCAACTTGAGTTTATTCCATGCACAATTAGCTGTGAGATGAACAAGTTTTTTTATCAGCACACATGTAAACAAAACCTTGATGGTGACAAAAATGATCCAACAATATCCGGTGCATAAGGAACAAATTTCCAGTTAACACTAGCTTGAGCTAATGAGAATTTTCAAATTTAAGAGAGAAATTGCTGACAGTAGTTTGAAAGCCCACATGCATCAATGGAATATTGAAAGTAATAAGGGTGAAACTTCACTAATTTCACACTTAAAAGACACAGACACAGAATTGTACATGCATCTGAATTTCTTTGACCTTTAAACTCGACAAAGAAGCTTCCAAGTTTTCAAAAGTTAGCTCAGACAACTTTTGAAAGACTGAAATTTATCACCTTAATGTCACATTTTTGCCACCAAAAAATTGAATAACATAACATGCAGGTTATCCACCAGTACGGGTAATCTGTTGACTTTTTTTTTTCACCATATATGCAATAATCAGCCGGTGCAGGTAATCAGCCATGCGGTTAAATGGCCGGAAATTACGGTATAAAAAGAGCCATTTAATGCAAAATGTACAAAAACTTGCACAAAAATTTCTACTAGCATTGATTTTGGGAGATAAACAAGGATTAAATTCTCTTTGAGTAGTATTGCTTTAAGTGACTGTTATTTACAGGTGGAAAACAATACAAGCAGGCTGTTAGGATTTAGTCAAGTGTGACAATGACCACTTGATAGGGGTGCATGACTGCTTAACAGACTGAGGTAAAAATTAAAGTGTTTTATAAGGAAAATTCATTACTTGACAAGGAAATTCTGCATTAAATTGCACGTGAAAACCGATATCACACGAATCACAAAGTGATGAGTGCAATATTGGTTTTCCAGTGCAATTTAATGAGGAATTCACGAGTGAAGTAATGGATTTTCCTTGAATCACATAATTGAATAAAAATGAGTGAAAAAAGGAAACAGTATTACTTAAAAATGTTATGTTTACATAGATGCAAAACAATATCACTTAGCCTTGTTTTCAACTCACAATTCCACACGAAATACCTTGCTTCATTAACCAATCAGAATGCAAGATTTTATTCAATGATGCGATTCAAGGAGAAAGAATTGCAGGACTTTGACAACTGACCACTTAATTCAGGGTAACTACTTAACTCTTTAACTCCCAGAAGTGATTAACATGTAACTTCTCCCTATAATATCCATACATTATCCAGCAAACAGGTAATGAGAATACTCAAACTTATCAGGAAGTTGTTACCTTGATTGAATGCCAAATTCTTGTAACCAGTTTACAAAGAAATGTGTGTCAGCTGGAGGGGAGAATTAACAAGCAGATCTTGGAAGTTAAAGGGTTAATGAAGTGCCTTTTAATACAGCTTCAACTGTATTTATATTTAGAGCTTATTATATGGCTTTGTCTCACAAGGACTGGGAACTACTGAATTCACGAATTTGATTGGCTGAAATCAATATTGAAAGTGGTCTAGATTTTCCCATCTAGACCGGCATCTAGACCAGTCTAGAAAAAAAAGTTACTAATAATATAATGTTCCGTTGCTTTCTAGACACAGCCATATAATAAACATCTTATTAACTAAGCTAGGTTGGTCTGTATGGGAGACCTCGGTCAAGATTCTCCCATACAGACCTCCTGCTCAGTTAATAAGAACTAATTAGTGACCAAGGGTAAACACTCAAACCCTTTGCTTAAGAATCTCTTAAGAGTGATCAACTCAGTTGATAAAAACAAATTACAATACAAAATAAAGTGTGGATACTTACAAAATTGGAAAAACAAGGAGTGGAATGGATCGCACAGCTTTAGCTTTCCAAGATTTTGGAAAGTCATAAAAGTAGCAGACAAGAGCAGCTACAATATACAGCAGGACTGAGTACAGGATGAGAGAACCTATAAATTTCTTCCTCAGGTTTTCTGTTCTTTGTTGACTGGAATGTAATGCTTCAATATCCTGAGTAGAGATTGAAAAAAATATACATCACTGGAGTTTTTAAGAGGTTTTGAAATGTATAGAGAAATAAAAATAGAGAAACTGACCCAGGTTTTGGTATTAATGTGACATCATTGTCAAGGTAACTACTTAAAACTTTTGTTGCAGTTATGAAGTTGAAAAAAATTGACATAATAACAATGATCATGCTCTATGATTGTGAAAAATCAAATGAATATTTTTGCCTGTATGGAGTCAGCTTGTGCACTGTTAGACTAGGTGCAACTATGCGGGTACATACAACTTCATGACCTAGCTGACATGAACAAACATGATACAATTTTCAATCAGACCTGTATCAGTCTAAGAGCATTTATCATATGACTCACCTGGCCCTGTGTATACAATCCCATAAAAAATCTATAGTGAAAGCTGATATGTGTAAGGTTAGACCAGTTGTCATGAACCAGGCAAGACAAAGCTGCCTAGCCCTGCATTTACACGACTCTCTTGCATTTTCCGAGAACATGGATTGAAATTGTGGATTTCAACAATTACTTGAAATAAAACAAATGGAAAAAAGAGTTGCACTTCTCTATGAATTATGAGTTTCTTATTCCGTCTCAAAGAAATAAAAAAAGAAGTTTTTAGGGTAGAATCTTTGAACCAGTTGTCCAGTGTGCGCCCTTATTTTGTATACAAGTACATCCTATTTTGATTGAAACAAAATTTCTTGAAATGTTCACCTCTTAGTTACCCTGCTGGCAGAGGCGTGTATTTGTTAACTTCCCCTATGGTCCATGTAAAAAATAAAGTTCTCTGCGATCAGCCTGTTAAATCATCTTCGAGCATGCGCCTGGGAATTATCCAAGTTTGTGGATAATCTGATTTGCAAAACCGGTCAGAACCTGTTTTTAACACGTTTTTATGCGCACGCATCCTATTTAGCTATATGGCAAGACCAAGTGTGAGCCCACAAACAGCCGAGTACTACTGGGAAACTAATTTGTTTCTAAGCAACAGGCCGCGCATGCTCGAAGATTTAACAAGCCGAGCGCAGAGGACTTTATTTTTACGTGGACCATAGGGGAAGTTAACAAATAAACGCCTCTGCCAGCAGGGTAACTCTTAGTAGTCATATGATAAAATTCTGTGAAAGAAGTCAAATTTTTTTGGCTTACCAGAACCCTTTTATAAAATCCCTCCAAGTCTTAATTGAAAAAGTTTGTATTTTTCTATGTTTTGTGGTCCTTCATAACTAAAACCCCAGGTGACCATACAAACACTCATCTGACCATTGAACCACTTGCATATTATTTTTGGATGGAGAGCACAGAGACACGACACCATGATGGTTTCAAAATATCTCTTTCAAATATGATATTAGTGCATTCTGAGTCGCTTATAGAAAAACCAGTAATAATCTCCAGAGCCACCAGTACAAGCTGCTTCCAAAAATATTAAAGGAAACAATTAATTATTCAATAAAACAAAATGATTTATGTTAATTTTCTTGTAAGATGCAAAATAAGCCATTTTGTTATGTTATCTTTATAAAGCTTCTGCTTGTTTCCAATATGTCTTCCAGTGTTTACAGAAGAATCATAATAAGACTCATCGACTGACTTGGCTAGTAACGCGAGTCTGCACAAGTCGAAAAAGTTGTGAAATCTGTTTTAGCAAACGTGAAGAAATTTTTGCAAAATTTAACTCAACCGAATTTGCGGTTTGTCGATCTTTTATGATCATCTCCTCGCAAAGCAACAATAGTAGGCTGATTAGAATGCTGTTACTAGCTGTTATAATAAGAAAATCTTTGTACAAATGTTTTTACACAAATAGTGAAATTTCCATCACTTGATCAACTGCCCAAAATTCTGGATTACCCTTATTAAGATTTGACTGTCAAAAAGTTCAGTTAAATTTCACGTTTGCATAAGCCTCACCTTCTCCAGTAATTCTAACACTTCTCCAAGCGATTCCTTTTTCTGCCAAGAAAGGAGAAAGTATCGTTGTACAATGATCGTGGAAAATCTACACATGCATCAGCTAAGAAGAGACGTTTTCTTCTTTGACACTGCCTGCAACCGAAACCAAAAGCCAAGTCAACAGCACTTACCCTCCACCTGGAGAAAAGTAGACCCATGATAAAGCTTTCTTCACAATCGTGATGCTTCAAGGGCCGCTACCTTCTCTCCATATTCTATGATCAGGAAATGAACTCAAGAAATTGATCGTGACGGGATTTGCGGCGCATAGGAACACATCGTTACTGCTCATGCGCCATCAACTCTTCCCGCTGGGTTCAGTCTGGACTGGACTGTAGGGTGGACTTTTAGTGAGTGGACAGGAATGACCACTCTTTCGTCTTAAATCAATCTATATTTGAGTTTTAAGAAAATGTCAGAACAGCACAAGCAGGCTTCGGCTGGGCACTGAACATTAAAAAACACTAATTGAAGAGATGCAGATGTCTAGCGTGGATAATGGCTTATGGTGCCTAATGGAGCCAGTAGAGACTTGAAGACAAAAAAGGTGGGAAATTCAAAAGGATATAAAAAGATATGAAGAGTCGTCAGCTGTATCATTGCCTAACACCCACTGAGCTGACTAAATGTTGCTTGTCATGGCAGGCATCCAGTTAGCAAAATAGAGTGCGATGATGAAAAGCACAATAAAAGCAGGGAAGAAGAGACAAAGCAATGGTTCAGTAAGATTGCAACTGACCCACACCTCACTTGTTCCTTTACAGCTTCTATCACATATTTACAACTGTGCTTCATTTTCCTAACCAGTTGTCTGGAACAGGCTTGACTGATCATGAGTGGTTGTAATTGGTAAAGTTTGTTTGTTATACAAAGGAGTGCACCAGATTACAAGGCAAAATGCATGTTAGTCAGAATAATTATCATCTTTATTGTGTAACTGTTTGGTGGCTTAGGAGACAAAAAACTTCCCTTTCAATAACAATATTTAAAAAAAAAAAAAAAAAACATCACAGGCCACTCCCAGTATAATCTAAGCCAAAAAAGGCTTCAAGATTTTCTACATTAATCATGTATCTAGCAAATCCTTTGTTTTCTTCATTCCGCTAAAAAAAGATTCTTAAAGCTTATGGAACATTTAATTTGATGATCAATTGAAGAGGATAAACTCACAAATCAATATGGACCATCTGCAAAGGTAAAATTCTAGAAAGCACCAGAAAAAGACAACCTTGAATTGTGGTATATATAGCCAATTAAATATATAGTTCAATGAATATTCTATTATACAGTCAAGTCATCAGTTGAGTAAAATACCCACTTCTCAAATGTTCTTTAAGCATGTTCTTTCCTAACATCCCTTCCCCAACCAGTGAACAACTTTTGATACTAAAGTTTCAATTTTTTCCTTCTTTAATTAACAATTGTAACATGCATCAAGAGAGATCCATAAAAAAATTTTATCCCTGAAGGCTGTTCCATAAACCTTCCTGGTCTGTAACATAAACTGGATTTTCTACAAAAAATGCTGGTAGATTGTGTAATAATCTACCAACTATTAGCTGTTTAATTTTAAATATATTCCCTATCAAAAACATATTTTTTAGAATGATGTTTGTTTTCATGACAAAAACCCAATTGTTTTTTAGTAAGCATAAATCGCAGCATTGGTGACTTCCTTCTTTATTACGTTTAGCAATATCAAGCAGAAAAGTGGTGAGAATAAAGAAAAATTCTCACACACCCCTGGGAGCCATGTCAAGCCAACCACCGCAAGCCTGACCTTTATTCACACAATAACAGCTATCAAATTTTACAAGTATACATGGAGTTTCAAAACATGAACTAGTTAAGAATCGAGACAAAATCTAAAATCGTTTAGAAGTGTAATGAACAACTGAAAAAACTCGTGGGTGGGTGGGAAGGTCAAGCAATGGCGGTCAACAAAAAACAACTGACCGCCTTACACATCACATGACCTTAACCCATCCCCAGGCCCCAGCGGTGTGTGAGAAAAACATTTTCCACTTATTTCGTTCCACTCAGCCAGTGGAAAATCACCCATTTCAACAAGGAGGGTTAACTCAACCTTCTCCCACAGCAGTGTGTGTAATCAGCTATACCTATTTTGAAATTCTCTTTCAGGGTCAAACTTCTAGTTACATATAATAATTGAATCAAAGATAAGGTTCTACATAGTTTCCTGGAAAGAGCCCAGTCACACCACTTTCCGTGACACCCTCAAACCAACCATCATCATTTTTCTTGACAACATAAATGATCACTCCTTCATCAAATGAGAGCTCATCATCTCTCTGCTGAGCATAGCTGTACACAGACACCACTGAAAGAATGAAAAACAGCAATGATGTGAACAACACTTCATATATTATCAACTATGATCTGCAAAAATACTAAAGATAGTTCAACTGCTGTGGTGCATTTTGCAGATTTTCTGTATGTTTAATCATGGAAATATAGAGTTGTGCTATAAGATTAAGCATTGAAACATAAGATGCATAGATATAATAATGTAACAGCATCTAACCTCTCCTTGCAATATCACCCCAAAATCAAACAATGAGGCCATGAAAATAAAGGAAATGCTCACCAACTAAAGAAAATTTTGATTGTTAAATAATTTCTCCTTGTCAGCACCTTAGTAATTGTATAGAGAACAGTATGGAGAATATGCATACTGACATTACAGTGTAGAGGGTTCAAAATATCCTGATTCAGAACAAACTGTTCCATTCACTAAAAATACCTTTCTCGATATAGTTATCAGGAACACCAGACTGTCCCTCCACTGGTGGGGGTGGTATTTGGTACAAATCATCTGGTGGTGCAGGCATGGGAAGGGATGATGGGGACTGATAATAGTCATCCTCAGAGGGTGGGGGTGGGGGCAGACCCATTGCATCTGAATATCAAGAAAAAAGTATCATTTCTGAACCTTTCAGATTTTACTTTGAAAAACAATGAATTGGGAGCCCTGACAAGGTTCTTAGCTTTCAGTTAACGAGGCTGTTTCCTTACCAACCATAGATTCATAAGTGCTACCTCCATCAACTTCAGAGGGGGGAATTAAGTCTGAAATGAAGATAAGAAAAGCTTTGAACAGCATCTAATCTTCAAAAGTAAAGAATGCCATGACTTTTGCTGAACCAGCACTATCCCTCTTTGTTTTGCATGAAAATTTGGAAGTGACTTTCTGCTGTTGTTGTCTGTGATACACAAAATATTTCTTCAAGATAAGTGCTGTCCAACAAGAAATGCTGCATTGAAAACTGTACAAAAAATTAATACCAAAGCAAGGTTAAATCAAGTAACTGCAGTACTGTCATAATATATTTACCTGGTGGGGGAAGGTTCATTGCACCACCATGTGAACCTAAAGTTGGAGGAGGGGGTGGGGCAGGTATTTGTCCTCCCATACCAGGATAGGAAGTAGCGGACACAGAACCAGGTAGTGCTGGTGGAGGTGGTATGCCAGTGGGTGATGGAACTGAAGGCATTCCTGGGGGTGGAGGGGGTGGGGGGACCATGGCACCCTCATCTGGCAGTGATGGAGTAACAGGTGGAATGGGCACATAAGGAGGAGGGGGTGGCCCTAGTTCTGGGGATGGAATAGAAGGTGGCATTGGCGGAGGAACAGGAGGGGGTGGAGGCTTAGTAAGTGGTGCTCTTCTTGTCGTCCCTGCAGCTGGTTGGCGCAAGCTATTCTTGTTTGTGGTTGCTGGCTGTTGTGGCTTCACTTTCCTGCTGCTTGGACGGCGTCGGATATCTTGACGATCAACCGTCTTGACTCCATGCCCTACAAAAGACAAAGCTTTTAAAACATTTCTGACACACACAAATTGTCAACTACAGACCTGGTTAGGGAAAAAAATTTGCGACACCACCACACATACCACTACTAAATGCATTTTCATTCATTTTCATTCATTTCCTTTTTTATTCAGAAGAGAGTCGAGTATGACAATTCTAAGATGGACAATCCAAATGAATAGGTATGCCAAAAACATTAATTGACCCTTGACTCATAGGTAGAGTTTCTCATTTTTCATGCAGATTAAAGAATGTCCAAAGAATCTGCCAAAAACAAATTTAAAGCTTCTAAATTCTCGTGCTAAATACAACTTGAGGTAAATCACAGAAAAAAAAATTTACCTAATTGATCTAGCAAGGAATAATCAGTTGTTCTTCTGCTGTATCTGATAGGTTTCTCTTGTTCAGCTGGGGCTATAATTCTGTGGGTGCGACCAGTTGTTTTACTTGACGCTAACACACCTATCTCCCTTCGAGCCACTTTTTCTTTATGAATGTCAACAGTCTAGCAATAAAATAAAATAGTGCAATAAAATAAAATAGTTTTATCAGTATCACATGTAGTAGGTGGCCATACCATGAGAATTTGAACCATAAACCATAGATTTATTTCTCTATTAAATATCATGCCTTGGGCATGAATTTCACTGTGGATAAAAAACAGTGATCTCACCAACACAACTGTCGAACATCTGCGTATACATGTGCAAACATCATAATGGCTACGTAACTTCAGGGCTTAACACTAACGGTAGCCCACTAGCCACAGACTAGTAGAAATTCAGTTTTGGTTTGTAGTTTCTGATTTCCCCTTGCCAGTTTGGCTAGTAAGCAAACTGAAATTGTTGTAACATCTAAGATGTCACTAGCTACTTGGCTAGTAAGTTGAAAAATTAGTTTTAATTGGAATTTAACATAGTTAATGACTGGGAGCTAATCTGGTCAGTAGCGTTCTACTGGTGTACTGCTAGCATATTAGCCTTCTGTTGGCATTTCCATAGCATTTACATACATTCTTATATGTGCACGATCCTTCGCAGTAAAGCACTATTTAAGCAATAGTGAAAATCAGACCTGAAAAAAATTCAGGCCTGTACGGGATTCGAACCACTGACCTCTGCGATACTAGTGCAGCGCTCTACCAATTGAGCTAACAAGCCAACTGGGAGCAGGCCATCAAATTAATTCGACATAAACCCGTAGATGATAAATCAAACAACAAACATATGAAATACATATATATGAACTGCGGTTATGAAACGTATATGTGCACGATCCTTCGCAGTAAAGCACTATTTAAGCAATAGTGAAAATCAGACCTGAAAAAAATTCAGGCCTGTACGGGATTCGAACCACTGACCTGTTAGCTCAATTGGTAGAGCGCTGCACTAGTATCGCAGAGGTCAGTGGTTCGAATCCCGTACAGGCCTGAATTTTTTTCAGGTCTGATTTTCACTATTGCTTAAATAGTGCTTTACTGCGAAGGATCGTGCACATATACGTTTCATAACCGCAGTTCATATATATGTATTACATATGTTTGTTGTTTACATACATTCTGTAGCATTGCAGCAATATTGTGGCTAGTAAGTTGAAAAATTAGAGTTGAGCCCTGTAACATGTTTTCCAGCTTTCAAAACCAAGGTATCACCTTGGAGTTATAACATCCTTTTAAAGAATTTTATGAACTTCTTCAATTCCCTTTCGTAAATTTGTGAGACAGTGCTTGTGTTGTATTATCTAACATTGAATTGAACCTAAAAAGTGTTACAGAGAGAGAGCACTGTACAGAAATTGGTGCCCACTCTTCAAGAAACCACGGAATATGTTCAGAATGTTCTGAAGATCTTTGGAAATTGTTTAATTCTTCGCAGATGTTCAGTTTCTATTCAAGAAAGTGGACACTATAAAAATCTTACATCTTTAGAAAAAAATGACAGGTAAATGAAATCCATTTTTCCAGTCATCTATCTACCTTTTTTTTATCCACAAAAGAAGGATATTACTTTGATGGTACTCCCCTTTTTTATCAGGTGTCATATACATGCAGTGTAATTCTGATCCACTTCAAAAGTAAATATGACATATGGGGTCAAAAATCTAACACTTTCAACCCTCTGGGAAATTGGGAAATATATGGTTTGATTCCTTGGGAAATACATGGTTCAACCCCTTGGAAATATATGGTTTGACCCCTTGGAAATACATGGTTCGACCCCTTGGAAATATATGGTTCGAACCCTTGGAAATATATGGTTCAACCCCTTGAAAATACATGGTTTGACCGCTTGGAAATACATGGTTCAATTCCTTGGAAATATATGGTTTAACCCCTCTCAGGAATACATGGTTCAACCCCTCTTGGAAATATATGGTATTGACCCCCTTCCCCTCAGAAATCTCAAGCCTTCAATAGCGGGGGTGCGGTTATTAAATGGAATGGCCCATTGTGAACATCGTAATTCAAGTTCATCGCATCCTCAAAACATTGAACTTTTAAAGAATTACTCTAATATGCTTTAAATTCACATTTAATGTATGGAAATGGTGTGAAAAGGTCACTTTCACTGCACTGAACATCATTTTGCATCTTCTTTTGCAATATCAGACCATTTTTATTTACATTTCGAGGCGTGTAAACTCCGGCTTTGCTTCAAAGACAAACAAGTCGAATCATTCAACATACCTCCGATATATGATTTATCCTTGATTCCATTTCCTGTAACTTCAAAACTTGTTGATCTAGCAAGCCCAGCATGTTCAAAGCTAATGAATTTATCTGATAAGCCACACTGGCTAGGGATTGAGTGGCGAATTGTTTCGTCTCGTCAAGAACAGCCCTTGATTCCTCGAGCGCTTTCGCCCTGTCTCCACCCGATTTATACTGATTATTTGTCTCCAGGTATTTCTTTTCGCAGTAGTCTGCCACCCTGGCCAGATTTGCGTGCCCATCTTTCAATGCTTGTCGTCCTTCGGGGATTTCTTTCTCGATCAGTGACAGAAGTAAGTTTTCAACCTCCGCCATCTTGGGATAAACTCATAGCATAGCATGCTGGGTACATTGGAGAAGGGGTGGGTCCTATGAAATATAAATCGCAAAAAGGCAAAGCGTAAAGCCACATTTGCTGTGGAGATGAGCGAGTAAGCAAGTGGAAAAATTGCCAGGCAATTCAAATCATAGCGACAAATTTCACCTTGAGATTTCTTAAATCTCGTAGACGAAGGCTATCTATGGCCTGACCATGAATCTTCTATATCTCAGATAAACATTATCAAAAATACCGATCGGAGAGATCACACTTGCGGCATCTGCAGGGAGTTATCGGATGATTTACTTTCCATATAAATAGTTGTAGCACTGACTGAAAAAGTAACATCCTCAGTTTGCTTTCTTTTTTATCAAAAGCACCTCTTATCTTTGGTTTCTAAATGCTTCTCTCAAAAACATTTTCAGTCAGATTGAAAGTTTTATTCATTTCATTAATGTTACACATGACAATTGAGCAAAGAAGTGAGAAGGTATAAGGTAAAAAAAAAGAAAAATAGATGATAGAAAAGTTTGTTACAAAATATGGGCTGCAATTTTTGCTTACTAATTTGAATAATTTTTTCTCGTGTGTCCTCGTCCAGCTAAACAAAAATCTTTCAAAACCTTCGCGAAGATAAAGTGTTTGTAATGTTATTTAAAAACTACAAAAAGATAGATGGATGAAAAGCTTTAAAACCTTGTTCTTCTACCTACGAGATTTTCTTCCATTTTTCGACTCTTTCCAGGCCCAAATCTCCGGTTAACCGCCTCCCGGTTAGCTCAATTGGTTAGAGCGCTGGACTGTTGTGCGGCAGGTCGAGGTCGATGGTTCGAGCCCCGGACCAACACTCCAAGTCTTAAAATAACTAAGGAGAATGCGCTACCTTTCCATAATTTCAAGAAATGGATAGACATTCTAGTCTTCTCGGATAAGGACGAATATACCGTAGGTCCCATCTCCTGCATCTATGAATTAGTTAATTTGGTTAGGCAAGGGATGTTAAAGAACCCACTCACGAGATTACTGTGATGTGGTCTGGCCTGTTTACTGGGAATTGGGGAGGAGGGGGCATCTTCAAATAAGTTTCCTTCGATTGTTTGTAAACTGCAGATGCAGTCCGGCCAAAGTCCCCCGAATACTGTTGTGATGCGCATTTGATCATATCCACATGTTAATTTGCGCAATATAAATATTAAGTTATTATTAATTACTATTATTATTACCATAAACGCGAGAGGAAACACAATCTGTTAATTAGGGAAAAATAAGCATAATTTTAAAATTCAAGCTTAATCTTTCGAGATATACAAACCAAGAAGAAAAAACCTTAATCACTCAGGATTACGATAAAAAGAAAATAATTCAAATACCGGAAAATTATAGACGAACGATCGACGTTTCGGCCATATCACACGGCCTTCATCAGGAAACTGCTGAGTCAGCCTGGGTCACGCAAGTGTCACGTGATAGCTGACTCGGCACGTCTCGTAACGCACGGTCCCACGTGTGCGATAGTACAAACCGTAACCCCCCTTTCTTATTAAGAGAAGGGTCCTCTACCCTCTCCCAAAACAGCTTCTTTGATGCCATGTCTGATCCAGTCTTCTTCCTTGTCCAAGATCTTCACATTGCTTAGACCAAAGGAGTTTCCCGAGCTCGTAAATGGTTATAGACAGCCGAATTCTTTTCCTCGATGGTACACGGCCTTTTGTGCTGTCCCATTCTCGAGCCCAGTACCTGTTTGGTCTCTCCAACATAGGTTTCACTACAGTTCTCATCACCACACTTTATCCCGTAAACCACATGTGAGATCTTATCTTTGTGGGGCTTATCCTTTACCTTCACCAACTTCTGCCTTAGGGTGTTACAGGGCTTGAAAGAGGTGGCGAAACCGAAGGATCTAAAGACCGACTTCATAGCATCAGAAACACCGGTCACATAAGGGATAGTTATCCGAAAGTTCCGCGATCCACTCGGTCCAGACAGACCAGTCCCCTGTTTTTTCCCCTGTCGTTGATGGTCAGTTTATGAGGAACTCGATGCTTTCTTGAAGGCCCAGTTTTGGTATCCGCAAAGATTCAATGCCTTCTTAATGTGTTCTTTCTCTTTTTCTTCTTCGTCCGGATGGCTGATTAGGGTATTGGCTCTATGTTCAAGGTTCTAATAAGAAAGGGGGGTTGCGGTTTGTGGGACCGTGCGTTACGGGACGTGCCGAGTCAGCTATCACGTGACACTTGCGTGACCCAGGCTGACTCGACAGTTTCCTGATGAAGGCCGTGACATGGCCGAAACGTCGATCGTTCGTCTATAATTTTCCAGTATTTGAATTATTTTCTTTTTATCATATTCTCAATTGGATGACTGATACAATTCATAGCCACACTCAGAATTACATTATCATAATTAGATATCATCACGTGACCTCCACCACTTGCCCAGGGCTACTCCGCCGGTTGACAACACTACAAGCAGTCCCCCCATTAGAGTAAGGAGAGATGGCTTATGTCCAAAGATAGCGTAGTCAAACAAAAACGCCAACAGGATGTCCACATTTCTCATCAGCGCTGCCGGGGCTGCCTTCTCCAATTGAAGACCTCGGTTCAAACAGAAACTTCTAAATACTCCACAGAGAGCTGCCGGAAAAAAAAGTAACATGTCGTCAAGTGCAATTTTTATTCACCTGTTTGATTTTAATCATTTATTTTTGTTTACGTTTGCGAGTGAGGTCAATTTTATTCTTTCGCGATCCACTTCTCGCGTGCATTTGGCCTTCGTGTTCGGCCCGCACTAATTTTTCACTGGCCAGAAAAACGCCAAAATAAAAAACTGCACCTGTAACAGATGCTCAAGGAGACATCTGTAGGTTCAGGTGAGTAACAGACCTTTTACGCCCAAGATCTCATCATCAATTCTCCTTACTTTCCGCTATACAATTCTTATGATGTTAGTTCTGAGAATTTGGCATCGAATCAACTAACAATCCCCTGATTGGTCCGCTTTTTCTTTATTCTCCTCGTCTCTTGCCTGCTTGACATGGTATTGATATTGTTAGGAGAAATTCTGTCTTGGTCACTCTTGGTAGTTCAAGGGTTCAAGAAAAACATTGTTGCTGCGCCAAATTAAAAAAAAAATGCAAAGCAGTTCCAAAACAAAACTGAAATTACATGCAATCATTTGATTGCCAAAATAGCACAATGAACAACCATCCCATCCAGGGGATGTTGGTGTTCCTCACTTTTTATGCTTCGGCCTGTTCCAGCCACCCTCCAAAAGAAAACCGTCATAAAGGTTACATGAAAGTGACAGTTTAAACCAATCAAATCTTGTTATTTTGGTGACGCGGTCATTTGCAGGAAATAGCCAATAAAAATCATTTTCCAGACAATCTTGAATAAAACCCATGGTTCTTAAACACGGTTATCAGCGGCAAATCACAGACGCTCGTTCCCGATTTTCTTTTGGAGGCTATTTCTTGCCATTTATTCATGCAATGAAAAAGAAACGAATCGAAATGCTAAGCGGCACGATACCAGAGGCGGAGTGAAAAAGCTGCTGTCGCGCCGTTGACGACCGCGTTACGAACAGATAATTTATGCTTTAGAAAACTAAATAGCCTCCAAGGATTAAGGGCCATAAGGCCCAAAAGGCTTAACCTATCTAACCTTTTTTTTTCTTTTTTTTTCTTCCATCTGACACGAGAAATCATTCTTACCTACTCCAATAAGGAACCACCTTGTCGTTCCGCAGTTCGGTACAACGGGTTTTTGAAATACAAACATGGTCAAACCAGATAGGAGCGCACTGCACCATCCAAAGTAGAAGACATTGGTGTAGAAGCTCACAGAACCACCAACCTTGCGGACCATAACGAACGTAAATGATTGGACGACAGCTCCGGACAGTGCCCCAGCATAACCAATCAGACGAGACGACTCGGTCACGTGGCTTGATAGATTTGCTACATTGGAGAAAAAATTTGAAATGAAGTTCATGTTGCTATGGTTTTCTCTAAACAAAACTCATGCTTGACTTTGAGTTATTGAGAATTTCGATGTGATATTTTACTTCAACAACGTAAGTTTTCGTTGTGTCAGTCCAGAAGAGTTAAAATGAGGTTACGCAATTTTACGCCATTTGAAAAGACTCAAAACCTTCATACTACGCGCATTTTGATGTTTCTTACCTATGATCTATAGGAGGAAAGACGCATAGATAACGCTTTTTTTTTTACCACATAAAACAAAAATATTCTATATTGCCGTGGTTTTCGGCCGTTTGTTCAAAGGGCGGATGAGTCTATTCAAATGGTAAATCGCTAGCCAGAAAATAAGTGTTAAGAAAACGTACTGCACTATAGAACGGATATCTAATTTTATTAAAAACTAGATCATTGGATAAAGCAATTCAAGACTTTTTATTGGCTTAGCTATTATGGTATATCAGCCAATATACCATAATCTACAAATATGGCAAGCGTACGTATCAGCTTAAAATTAAAAGGAAGCTAAAAATTTAATAAAATTTAATAAAATTCAATAACTTAATTTAACGTTTTTAATAAAACAATTATTCCACTCGCTCTTGTTGGATATGAGATGATGGCATCTTCAAATAAGTTTCCTTCGATTGTTTGTAAACTGCAGATGCAGTCCGGCCAAAGTCCCCCGAATACTGTTGTGATGCGCATTTGATCATATCCACATGTTAATTTGCGCAATATAAATATTAAGTTATTATTAATTACTATTATTATTACCATAAACGCGAGAGGAAACACAATCTGTTAATTAGGGAAAAATAAGCATAATTTTAAAATTCAAGCTTAATCTTTCGAGATATACAAACCAAGAAGAAAAAACCTTAATCACTCAGGATTACGATAAAAAGAAAATAATTCAAATACCGGAAAATTATAGACGAACGATCGACGTTTCGGCCATATCACACGGCCTTCATCAGGAAACTGCTGAGTCAGCCTGGGTCACGCAAGTGTCACGTGATAGCTGACTCGGCACGTCTCGTAACGCACGGTCCCACGTGTGCGATAGTACAAACCGTAACCCCCCTTTCTTATTAAGAGAAGGGTCCTCTACCCTCTCCCAAAACAGCTTCTTTGATGCCATGTCTGATCCAGTCTTCTTCCTTGTCCAAGATCTTCACATTGCTTAGACCAAAGGAGTTTCCCGAGCTCGTAAATGGTTATAGACAGCCGAATTCTTTTCCTCGATGGTACACGGCCTTTTGTGCTGTCCCATTCTCGAGCCCAGTACCTGTTTGGTCTCTCCAACATAGGTTTCACTACAGTTCTCATCACCACACTTTATCCCGTAAACCACATGTGAGATCTTATCTTTGTGGGGCTTATCCTTTACCTTCACCAACTTCTGCCTTAGGGTGTTACAGGGCTTGAAAGAGGTGGCGAAACCGAAGGATCTAAAGACCGACTTCATAGCATCAGAAACACCGGTCACATAAGGGATAGTTATCCGAAAGTTCCGCGATCCACTCGGTCCAGACAGACCAGTCCCCTGTTTTTTCCCCTGTCGTTGATGGTCAGTTTATGAGGAACTCGATGCTTTCTTGAAGGCCCAGTTTTGGTATCCGCAAAGATTCAATGCCTTCTTAATGTGTTCTTTCTCTTTTTCT